CCACTGATTGGTCCGACCTAAAGCGTACACTACGGCGTAACCTTACATATACATGTATTGTTCAAAGGAAAAATATACCTGCGTCCGTAACAGTTGTGGACGTTCTTTGGTTTCCGAACACTTCTACTGATTATTGTCACTTAGTTTTTAATCGTTTACTGCCACAAACAATGTATCAGTTGTCATTTCTAAAAGGAAAGGAGTAGCCCCTAGGACTCTAAAGCCATAATTGCTCCTGTGTGTAGGCAAGCGCTTCGAAGAACAAATCTCGGGTTTTGACGAAGTTAACACCTAATCCTTTTCGATGATTTTAGCTTGAAACTATTGGCTATTGGTATATAGAACTGGAAAATCCATTTTATATATTGCATAGCGATTTACTTTATATACGCATACAAACGGCTCACACTATTAGCATCCATCGGGCAACCCCTGGCAAAGTCAATTCCATGCTTGTCTGATGCCCTTCGAAGCTTAACGATTTTTTTTTAACTTTCGAGGAACTCATCGTCGCTTGTAGCTGCAATCAAATCGCGTTCAAAGAGAAACCGAGGTAAACCCTTCACACGTTTGCCAAAAGGTTGAAAGCCAAGTAAAGCCATCCAACACTGGACATTTCGCCAATGTCAAGCTTGACCTTGAGCATGGGCGACACCTACCTTCACAACAGAGACATTAAGCACTTTCCTAAATATTAATCTTAATTACTCCCCGTATCTGTGCTTCTCATTTTAATTGCGTTCTGAATTGGCCAAAAAAGGTATGTTGCGAAAAACGCATGATCGCAAGGAACATGCCTTTGAGAGATAGCCACAAAAGTACATGATCAACTCAGTGAAGTCTAAGCGTTGTGACACTTCAGTGGATAGGGTGTAACGAATGACTATTGACGAATATCAAATTCTGCACGAGCAATGATACAGACACAGCCTATCGGGATTTGTTAATGTCGAAGCTTTGATTTGCAAGGCTGTCCTCGGGATGTTATTCACTGCGAGGCTCTTCAGTAGCGGATAAACATCTAGAGCTTGTCTAGTCTGCGCCGTTCTCTAGATCAAAAAACAGACACCTTTCACGCTTCGCCGGATAATGGGTACCATCTGCTAAAAAAAAGTAAGTATTGCTTTGCATTTAGCAGTGCCATCTTGTCGCATCAACACGAAGCTTGATATAGGTAACGTTTAGAACTACGAGTTGTATTATGAAATATTGAAGTTGCTAAATAGCAGCGGTACGGGCCGGTTCGTATGGGAAAATGGGGCTTCGTAATGTTGTTAGCAACAATGGAATATCATCTATTATATTGTAGGCGAGAGTTATTGTAAGCAAAATTACGAATGTGCATACAGGAGTAAAGTTCTGACACAGAGAAAGTAAGCACTCGCGTCGATTCGAGTTCAATGAAGTGAGCCAAGGTATAATGACAATTTAATGTAGCTTTCCTCCATCATCTTGTTGGCCACGAATTCAGCATGTAGACAGATTGACACCACGAATGAAAACAACGCCTAAGTTATTGCTTTTAATATCGATAGTATTGCCTCCAATGTATAGTTATTTTATCTAAAGAAATACATATACACCGGTATGCTATTTGCCGCATGTTGTTAGACAGCCTGATGAGCTTGCTATTCGATCGTCAAAATTATGGATATTTTTTTACCAGCACCCTCTGGATTAAACCCAGATGTTTGGCTTATCCTCTCAAAACATTTGTCCAAACTGCGTACGCCATTCGATCAGCTTTTCCACGTGTATTTTCAAAGAAAAATAGAGAACCAATGAAAAGAAGAAACTTCTGCATGCAGGTAAGATACGTTCATTAATTCATTCCTAATAATTAACTCAATAAATGATTAATTTTGTCGATCTTTAAGGGTCGTTATGGCTAATAGTGTTTCCTCATATATCAAACAAATAAATTGTTCTCATAGCGTATTTGGCAAAACAATGACGAAGGTAGGTCAATCTCAAAAGCAATGAAATGTTAAGATGATTGATTTTAATTTATTTTAATTTAATTAAAAATTAAAATTAATTCAAACACCAGCCACTGTAGAAGCTTGTTGGATAGCGTACACTCGCGTACTTAAAAATTCGAGACAACTGCTGGAAAGATGTTAGCTTCTCCAATAGATTGTGATGGCTATATATCAGAGAAGATGGTATTGGCGCATATTATTTTATGGAGTAGATACGCACCGATGTCGTATACTCGATAAACAATTGTAATGGCTCGAAGACTTTTAGATTAGTTGACACAGAGCATTCTATTCTAAAAATAAGTTTAATCGTAAGTATACCGGGCTGTTTTTCATATAGGATTAAGAGGGATCACAATTTAATTTTTATTGGTTTTCGACCACCGCATTGACCCTGCTGTACAATACAGTGCACAGAACCAGCCACAGTTGACGCTGAGTACGAACGCCACCCGAAACATGCTGTATCTGAAAACTTTCCAGGAACGAAGAAACACCTGTTCTGCCTAGAATACATACAATAATCGCAAAAACGACAATTGTGCTTGAGAAGGTGCAAAATAGCCTTCCTTCAGTAAGTTAATAAATTCATTTTTTTAAACTGCTAATTATTGAATTTAACTGGACGGGTAAATCTGAGCGGTGACAAACCAAACAAATCGTCCTTTCACCCAAACCACCACAGCTAATGGTTATATATCAACACTGGTAAAATTGATAAGTTTACTGTCTAACATATTTTAGAAAATATTATATATACCTAAAGAGCTCAGCTAGCAACGCGACTAGTATATTTATGGTTTGCTGTTAGATAAGTGAAGGCATGTGTTATCCTATGACTGGAAGGGGCAGTATCGGAACAGCGTTGTTAGTCGATGACTCCCTTGATGGGTTCATTGACGTCTTTATTAACACTTACAAGCGTTTATTGTCTTTATTATTATCGACCGGTCGATCATTCAACAAAGACGAACAAGATATCACCATTGCGGAGCACATCTTTTGTTGACTCCAGCTTTTTTCCTCTCTCAGTTTAGGATAGACATTGTCGATTGTGGGCTGTGTTACGTTTTCCCTTCTTACCACACGCGAATACGCAAACGGAGATTAAATGGCCATAGCTCAAGTGGGCGGCTGCGCAGATCACATTGAAGGAAAACACTTAGGGTCGAATTGCATCCGCTAGATGCCCATTCATCTTGAGGCGTGCGCGATGTTCGGGATCAGTTGGGATAAGAAAGGAGTTATTTGTTTAAATAAAAATAGGTATTTGGATAAAATGTTGTTCATGTTCCGACACAGATATATCTGACGGGCATCTTTATTTACTATTTATTATTCGTATCACTACTGCTCTTCTTAATCCCGGTTTCAACACCAGCCTTGAATCGGTCACCAGTTATCCTCAAAAATTATTTTCTAACGGAAAACATTTTAATAATAACACTGAATACAACTATTCTCGTTGTACGCTACGTACGATAAAATCTAACATACTCACGTTTCAGACTGCAAACAAATCTAAAGTCCATAAAATTGAAGGGTCTAGAACGGGCTAAAACCTAAAAATTGCAAAAGTTTAACAAGTACCGTTCCTTGAAGGCAGCTTGACCACGCCGAAACATGGCTTTGTTGCTAAAAATTACCTATAGTTAGTTCATTCCCATGTCTCATCTATTTCATGCATGTCAGTCTTTACATCTATACACATATGTATATACATTAACTTAAGGCCGAATCGTACTTTGATCCAATTTACGTTCCTCAATTTTCTTATAAACGTAGTAGTTGACGGCATTTCCTTTTTCTATATACCCAAAATACAGCGGCCCATATAGCCTTGAACTGAATGCGTTGTCCTTCATATAAGGCAATTCGCTATTATAGCTTCGGGACAGAGACAGCTGTGCTAAAAACGTACATTGATTAAGTTCTTTATTTGTGGTACAACAAACGTTCTATAAACTATCCAAATTGGTACTACTTAGCTGTTTCAAGTAGCCCTATCCTGTAAAATTTGGTCCAAAACAAAAATCTAGTAATTATACCAAAATCCTAATTTGTGTGTAGTACGTCAAATTTGAGTTTATCTTTTAAAAGCAATGAAGCTTAAGCTTTTGTGGCTGACCTATTACATATAGAAAAAATACACCCAACCATAACAACGGTAGGTAAGAAAATAAATTGGCGATTTATAGGGATGTTACGCATTGGCTTAAAAGCGTGTTTTTATACTAGCCTCGTTTAAGCTTAAAAGTTTACGTTTAATTTCAGAGTGCAACCTGGTTGCGAGTCAGGAGTACCCTCGTGCAATATACTGACCAATTTATTGTGTTTACGAATTGGATTTTTTAAATAAATGCTTTAAGGTACACATTCATTCAACTGTGATTTATGTTCAAGATAGTCCTATAAATTTTACTAAAGAAAACGTGTTAAGTATTGAATATAGCCGATAGATTTTCTTTTATACAAAAATGCCTCATAGCATTGTATAATGAAGGGAAGTAAACATTTCGTCGATTGAAACATATCCGTATATGTTCCTTGAAAATATTTAATTTTTTCCTTATTTAATAACTCATGTTGAGTATAGGCTTCAACCATCAATCGCACGCCTTTGCAACAAAGAAGTTTGCACCGTATTACTGGGATATTCTTTAAGAAAATTTTCAGACATAAGCGTACCGGGGCTTTGCTCAATGAGTAAACGAACGTTTATGTCAGAAGTCTATTCAGTCCCTAAGGGGAATATTTAGCGCATTGGTTTACTTTGGAGAAAAAATGATATAGCGAAATATCTTATTTATCTGGAATGCTATACATATTTTACAATTTTCACATCGAAATATGTACGGGGAGGTTTGGGGGCGCTTGACGTCTATGCATATAGTTAGAGTGAGAAAAAAAATAGGCATTTGCAAATGCTGTATCGTACGTATTGAGAGAAATGACGGAACATATGGAATGAATACAAGTAATTGTTAAAATCATTAATTGGGTTAATAGGGTATTTATTTTAAAATTATAGTTTACACTTTATACAGCTCCCACCAAGCATTTGTCTCATTTCTTTTACCCGTTCAGTCAACAACTATATGCTTACCCATTTCTTTAATTAAATTCTATTTTAAATTACAAACGATAATTTAGTATTTATATCATCTTTAATTCCGTACCTAATTTTGCCAGTTGCTTTCCTTAGTTATTATTTTTTTTAAATATGTTCCATGCTCTTCGATAGTAAATTTTAGTTCTTTTCACTTATATACTTCAATGACTATATTGCGATGACTGAATGGGACTAAAGCGACCTTATTCGATCGACAAAGAAAAAAATAGGTCCGTAGTGTTAGAGGAATGGTGGGGGTAGGCTCTCTTTGCTTCTCTATAATACTAATAATAATAATAATAATAATGCACTTAATAACGGCATTCAATATATTTACAAACAGTTTTCTTACCAGTAGGTCTGTATGTATTGCTAATATACCCGGCATGCGTTTGATTCTCAAATCATTCAAACGCCTCCGTTATTTGCTGCTAAAATTTTGCACAGTAGCGTTTACGTCCTCTTCCCATTTCATCTGCTATTATAGTTACAGAGGTATGATGTTTATCCGCTAAACTTTTCTCTTAGCTTTCACGTCGTTCAATTTCTCTCCCCCAGGCTAATGTAGCTATAAGGTGGACCAACGAACCCGCACAGAGACCAGGCGCACTGAGTTACCGCCGGTGAATTTCCAACGCCTGTCCCATAATACATTGTCCGCATGTCGTCGTGATGACGTCTAGAATGGGTGTGTAGGGTTGATTGCACAAGGGAGTTCCTTTATATACACTGCCTCCTTACGTTATTGTCTATTGACGAGGTTCAGGTAGAGCTCCTAGCTTCGTCCGGACCCTGTTGGCCTTTCCGAGGCATGCTGGGCGGTCCTAGTTGTGCCTGAAGTTGCTGACTCAATCGGGCCTCCTTCCTCACCTTCAATAGCGGACTGTTTCTTTTACGCACAATGCAGTAGAATGGACTAATCAGGAGTAGTGGCGAACCTGCCAAACAGGAGCATTTTTCTCCGCAAGAGAGAGACCGCGAGAGTCCGGAAGAGGGAACGCGAGATAGGTTCGCAGTGGAATCTGTGAAATTGCTGCTTTTCGAGTTCTGCCACTGTAAATAGCGAAACAAACGGCGAATACAACAACAGCTTATTGAACTATGGTGAATAAGGGGCAAAGCACAGATCCATGAGTCTCCGACGTCGATCTACTATTAGACCTACCGCTGCTGCCACCACTACGTACAAACTTTTCATGTTCGTATTTAATTTTAATCGCGTTGTGCCGTCCAACTGATAGGGTTAATCAATACAGCATTATAAACTGTCTAGCTACAGCCTTCATTTCAGTGAGACATAATTGTCTCACGTTACAATGAACACTCCGTACGTAGTAAGGCTCACAAGAAGGTGCAGTCGACGTGGAGCCAAAACTAAGATCTCATAAATTTTTGTTTTAGTTGACATTTTTGAGAAGTCAGTGTTCTCCTATGGATCTGTCGGACCACACGATGTGGCGCTTTCCGCATTTTACTTGGTTCCTTATGTCCTCTACGTATATCTTCTTCAAATACTATGGATTATATACCATAGTTCATGCTGTAGGCCGCTGAATACTTCTCGTTGATTTTTTGACCTGAACCTTCCATGGTCGCTGGTTTCAACCTGTAATAAGGAAATGAGTCATATTTTTTAGTGCAGAGTGACTGTTTTTATTTTTTTTTGAGCCAGATTACTTGAATGTCTGCTTCATCGATTCTAAAAGAATGATGTTTGATTGAAGCCCTATTGGAAAATGCTCGCTATTAAATAATTTTCTGTGTTAATACTAATACCCAGTAGAGTTAAGTGAATTAGAACAGGCTAATAAAAGCACAATTACACATATAGTTACAAAAAACCAACAGGGAAACTCACGCCGAAATTGTACGATGATGTAAGTCGGATCTGAATTGGATCGTTAAGAGTCCTCCGGGCGTACCCGTCGTCCCACGAGGTTGGTACAGCTTTAAGTTTACAATAATGATGTTGCAGTAATCCTCTGAAGGAACGCCAAGTAACCGAAAACTAATACGAGATAGTTTAATATACTCGTGTGTCTACTCGTTGTTCCTGAAATGTACCGTTCTGAAGAAAAGTCGATAGGAAATCTGTTGCAGTGATTGTCTCACGTAAGGAAACTGTATCTACTTTATTGTGATCTAAACCGTGCACGTCCTGGCACATGTACAGCCCAAAAAGACACAAATAGTGCGATCTAATCCGCAAAGATGCCATATCTCTTTTTGCATAGGGTAGCTTTGATTTCGTACCAACAAGACGTATTCTCACCCCGGGAGTCAGCCATAAGCCAAGAACTAACCTGGATAGAATTCGAGAACGCGCGTTTGTTTGATATCCGTTGAAGGAATCGAGTAAACGCAGAAAAATAGGTGCCTGGCCGTCGAATGACCTCTACGAAAATGCCGATTTGATAACGACGTCGTGAGGATCGTTGAATAGCCATCACGGGCCGCTCGACGTTGCTGGGCTTGTACGCTGAGTGCCGACTCTCGAACTTCACTTGTACCGTCGGCTAATCTTCGTTCAGCTATTGGTTGAACCGAATAGTTAAGCTGGCCCGTCATGTTGTCTACATTCATATATTCCCCACCTGATTCGAAAAAATGGCAACAATCGTCAATGACTTAGTGATTGTTAAAATAAGTGAAATAGCAGACGTTAAAATCCTTCCCCCGTAACCAACGACAATTGTTTTTGAACAACATCTTCAAAACTGATTACCGTAAAGTTGGGCAGAGCTAAAGAGGTCATGTGTCAGAGTGCAATTCGAGCGGGACTAAAAATAAAATGAAGAAAGCAAAGTAATTATACAACATCCATCAATCAATTTGTTTAACTTCATATGAGCATCGTAAAGGAAAACGTAACACCGGCCAACAGTAAAGCTTTACGAATCTGTAGAACCAATCATATTTCTATAACCGGAACCAAGAGATAGATACTCAACTTAAGTAAACTACGCAAGATGGTTTTTTACATTTTCATTTCTACAATATATAAGATATATTAAGGACGTTCACTGACGTTAAGAAGCATATGATATGATCTAATATATTCTTAGATGTGATCTTGGTAGAAGACACCGGTGACACCAATACATTGGTGCGAAAATCAGCAAATACTTCTATTATAAAAGTGGCCGTTTCCCTACTGTTTCTAATCAAACGAATAGAGATCTTCTACTATTCTTTAGACGCCAGAATTTATTTAACTGTACAAACACAGGTGCAAAAATCGAAACGAGGTCTCCATGCAGAGGGCTTTACAATTTAGGTAACGCCACCATTTGTTTACTGAAAGTCAGTCGTTGTTCATTCAGCTTACTGCCCAGCCTTCTAGCAGACGCCATTTGGTTCTACTTGGTAGTTTCTTTTGGATTTCGTATCTTATTAAATAAAGGCTCACAGGACTTATTAGGGTTAGTAAAAGCGTATTCTAAAGCATTTAAGCAAAAAAGTTCTTCTGATAGCAGTCTACGGAATATGGTTTCAAACTTGGTTTTCTTGTTCGCTACAACCATACCTTTGCCAGTGTTTATATATACATAGCGGATAGCTCTAACGCCTCCAATGCTGCTAGCGTAGTTCTTTTTGGCGGGCCAGACGAAGCTAAATCTTGCACCTTATTATTGAATCTGCAAGTTTATATTGTAGCTTGAATTCGATAACTCACCAGCGATATTCATTTGTTCAACTCTGTACATTAAAACTTGTGGTTGAGGAAATATTCCTTCCACTTGGCAGCGGAACTGTGTCTCTTCGGAATCTTCCGGCTGAAGAAAGCTCAGATCGAATTTTTTCGGTTTAGCTGTAATTAAATACCCTGATCTTAATTAATGTTCAGCATCTCTGGCATAAGCATTATCATCATTACAGAAAAGTATTTCCGAATAACCCCACGAAGCTCGACTAGTGGCAGTAGTCAGAACATCCTTTCAATATTAGAATTTGACAACGTCGCATATTATCCATTGAGATTTCGCATTCGCTTCTAAAACGTGTAAATCGACAAAACCCAGATTCAATACGAACCGTAGACAATCATGTCAGCAGCACGAGTATCTTGACTTTGTAGCGACGTTACAGAACACGAGTACGTTCCGCTCATATCAGTAGTGGGTCGCAAAATATTCAACGCGCGGTATCGAGTATACCAATCTTGACTGGCGACGTAGTGTCGGTTGATGTGGCCTTCGAAACGCGGTGATGAAGTGTACGATCTTTTGCTTAGGTCGGGAATCCACTGGTAGATGGGTTTTGGGTCCTTGTTAAAAAACCACTTGACTACTAGTTGTTGGTCGTCCTGGCTATAGGAGTAGATGCAGTCAAGTATCACTGAATCGGCCGTGCCGTTTTCTACCGAACTGGGTATGGAAAGGCGCTCTATTTTCACTCCGGACACCCCGTTCCAGGCGAGGCACCAGTTGACCCATATGGGTATTATAGACAGAACTAAACTGCCTGTAAACAGCAGAGGACAACGATGCGAAATTAAGTGACATCCTCTTCATAGCTTCTAACTGCAGACCCTATATAGTGTATATCAAATACTATTTAGTTTACCTGACATGCGTAATCCTTGAACTTTGATCACACATTTGAAGGGTCCGACAACATGCTCTGAAACTGGAAGTAACATTTCATAAAACTCTGGGAGCGCCTGAGATTTTTTTGGCAAGCGCTTTCTGTGGAGTGATTTCTAAATGGCTTTCTATGCAGAACTTACACTCTGCGGCAAACTTTAACTTATCCGTATTAAAAAGGAGTTATTGCTGTGATTCGGAGTCACATTTTAGGCTGACAACCTAAAACGCTTTCAACTTCCACCTCAACTGACACGTTTTGCAAACGAAAAGAAACTAAAACAATCTGGCTGCGCTTTTGTTTACTTCCAACTTATTGAACCTCTGATTTCCACACAAGTTATGTAGTGAATGTATTTCAGCTGGATTTGGATGGGCAATTTTTAGGTATACCTCAAATACACGTTACATTTATATGAAATAGCTAAAACATTAAAAAATTTATTTATTCTATTGTGTAACAGTGAATTATAATTGTAATATGTGGGGTGATGATCGGTATATTGGATATAAAATTTATTGTAGAAAAACAGGTGCTGAATAAACCGGCTCGCCTATAAGAGAACAAGGCGCATCCTTCCTCTAGAAGAACTTCTAGGCATTGCCGATTCTTACAAGACTGATGTTCATCTTGCAAACATGGGAGATCAGGCTTCGGATTATTATAAACCTGCTGTGTTTTCGATGCAGATTCGTCCTTACTGGCTTGTGACATCTAGATTAAATATATAAATAATATTAAAAGTAATTTCTCTACTACTCACAATTTCCGCCAGGTACCAAATCGCACGTTATATAGTGCTTTGCTGTTACAGCTGGTACATCAGGAAATATGATAAGATATTTATGATCTACCATAAACTTCGTGCAAAACTCGCTGCTCAAACTAGGTGTGTAAGCGGACAGTAACATAATTAAATTATCCGTCCTGAGACGGCCATATATGAAGTAAGGAAAAGGAGGAAGTTAAAAGTTGAGGAAGGGTTAATAGTTTAAGTCTACCTATTGTGGGTATAAGTCAAGGATACATGGACTAACTCTAGAACAAGAATCGATGGTTATCACCTGTTCAATAATAAATCGAAATCATCCATTCTGTCTAGTAGCCCGCGAGAACTCACAGGACTATCTCTTATTTCAGCTTTCCGGTAGTGCCTGGCCGTTTGACCACCCTGTGAGGTAAACTTGCTAAACCTGATATCAACTATTACCACATAACTGTACATTAAGCGGGCTTGTACATAATTTAAACAGCAATGTTTTTCTCCACAAAAATTGAAACTTCTAGCAGTTAATATTCACGCTAAAGGCATCGCCAGTGACGTATTGAGACTATGTCGTATAAAGAGTACAGAGTGTAACGATGTTTATTCTCATAACACGTAACTGTGTAGTAAATTAATATGTCAAATAATTCAAAACTGGCACCTAGCTTTGGCAGGTAATTTAACACGCGCCTTTGGTCTGATATCCTACCAATTCGCCAACGCTGGCTTTAGTATTACAATATAATTTAGATTTATTAAGGGTATCTACTAAAAGTGTGGACCAAACAAACAAAACGCACTAAAAATACCCAATAGATCTTTTTATTGCATTGCTTATTTTAACTGTAGTGCTAATATCCGTGGCGTTTTCTCTCTTTAAATATTACAATTTTCAAGTGTTTTCTTCGCCACCTGATGAGATTTCCTATAAGACTCATCCTTATATAAATATCGATATGGATTACTGTAATGTTTCAACGATACGAGGAGTAAAATCGTCAAAAACGCCGTCCAGATTCTGTGAAGTCTCGATGTCGCCATCGCATGCCTTTGGTAGACTATCAATAGTTTCTTGCAGAACAGCAGCATCCTTCTTTATCAAGGAAGGCTGGGGCAAAAAAAAGGACAAAGGAACGCAGCTCGTTCGTTCGAGGCTCGAAGCCTTGCTGAGAAACCGTTGTGTTTTTCGCTGTATGCATAACACGAGTCTGCACGAACGGCAGTGGCGGCACGATCGCCACCAGTGGAATGTGCAGCCCGCACGGCGAAATAGTGTTCGTTTTAGTAGTGCTGGTATCCTAGAAACGAGGCGGAATAGACCTCGTAGAGGGACCAGCGTAAATGTCAATCATGCCTGCGCGACATTCGAGGAGTGACAGACCAAACTTTCGCATCCCCTCCTCCGCCCTCTCTTACTCGGAAAAGAAAAACCATGTGGTGGCTGCTGCCGCCCCTGCTGGTTGCGTCTGGACACACCCGCTTACGGGCTGAAGGGGTCTGTTCCTGCCGGGACAGACGTCCAGACAAAGCAGCACATACCCCACAGACATCTTTCTGCCTCGACACACACGGTCAAGCCTTACACATACACACTCACACATCCATATATACACATATGGACCTGCCGAGGCTAGTGGGACTCTTGGGAGTTGGTTCGGGCTCGAAAACATCGGGAATGGCTCATTCCGGATGCAGCAGACGCGACAGCGATGAAGTGTCGACTCTTCCCAGTCTGACGACGTGGGAAGACTTCATGGCTAGTGAGGCTTCAGGCACGGTAACGCTTCCCCACACGCAAGCTTTATTTGACACACAGTATACCCACAGCATCTATCCTGGGATTTCTTTCCGTGTGGCATTTCTAACAGCCTACCGCCCTTTTCCTTTCCTTTCTACAATGCCGCACAGTATGCAAGTAGTGCATAGCGGTTACATTAATAACGAGCATCGTTCAGAGACACTAAGTGTGTTTTGTGTCAATCAACTATACATTCGATTGGGTTCATTTGTAGTTATCAGCATTCGAAACAGGATCCTTCAGAGCCTAGACAGGAGTCATTGAAAGCTATACCAGTAGCAAATGCATGTTTATATGGTAAACCAACTGAGGCTGGTAAAGCCTAATGTAATATATTTACATTTTAAGAATTAACTCAAAGTAGCCAGAAACGTAAATTCATCAATAACTTGAAACGTAGATATCACTTCACAATAATAGATGCGGTCCTTTTTATAAAATCAGGTGATTTCAATAATGAACAATTGTCTTCTTAAAACGTTCGGTTCGTAGAAGCATTTAGAACAACTTGGAAGTAAAAGCAAGTTTTGCGTGGAACGTTTCCATATTAGTACCCTACGATTGTTCAATGGAGTGGTTTTGCAATAAAATTACGATATTTATACCTATTAGTTGAGCGCATTATTATATTAAAATTATTAGAACGCATCTCCATGATAGTAAGCAAAATTATCTCGTAGTATCTACCGGTTTGATGGCCCGTTTGTAAGCTGCAGTTTCCCCGGAAAAAAATGTTTCTTTTTTTGCTAAAATAACCCAACTATATGTGCCAAGCTGGTCTATCCGTTTTGATGTTCATGGTTGTTTCCCTGCATCGTCGCCCAATGAACAAAGACAGTCTATTTGACCACATTGATGGCGGCACATTTTTTTATGGGGGCTTCAGAGGAAATAAGTACGTTACACCGTTCTCCATCGTTTCGATTACGATATACACCTTTCAGTCTCCTTGATACATCTCATTACAGTCGTCAAGACGTTAGCCGGACAACCAATGACAGTCCAGTCCTTCTTTATAAGGACGGTTTATTATAAAAATGAGATCCCGCTTTAAACAAATCCAGTCCCGATCAAAACTGAATAAACCGCTAGCCTATTCGATCAAAATACGCTGAATCCCATCTCATCGGCTTGCCGTCTTCGCTTGAGAGGAAGTAACTATTGGCCACTTCCTGCTTTCGTATTGTCATATTCATCTGTATATTAATTCATACTTCAGATCATCTGCGATTGGCCCATTAGAAGGCCATGGTCAAATTGGTTAGCTATTACTATAAAATAGGCTTCAAGATTTCTGAACAGATGTATTACATGTTTCTTATTTTAAATATAATAATGTTATTTTCCCTACGATATGGGTGCACTTGAAATTCTACTGAGTCGGCCTATATTGACGCCTTCGACTATAAGTGTTGACAACGCGTTTTCCAGCGATTTTAAGAGACGCAGCTGATGGTATCTGAGGGCCATTTGTTTCAAGGGCGCCCTTGACATACAATATCGTCATTCAACAAATTCGCAAAGTTCCGTCACTATTCGACAAATAGATGAGGAATAGATGCCAATGATGAACGTGATCTCAGTGCAATCTCACTCACCTTAACCAGCTTGACCATCAGGCAGAGACGTCTGTTTTCTCTATCGAATTTACCTCGTTCGTTTCGGCTTCTCGCAGCCTTTCCTCTATACAGACGTATATATCCACGTATACATGTACCAAGAACATAGTTCTTTCCGTTTTAGGCACAAATTACCTTTACAGTATCTAAAAAGTGTTTCACATCTGATCAAATAGCTATCTTCTATGTACGAGGAAACGTCGTGAGCAAAAGAAGGGACAAATGGAAACGTCAAATGAGATGAACCTAGATGCTACGAATATACATAGCTTATAGGTTTCAAGTACTTAGATGATCGGCCAATTCATTACTCTCGAAAGAAAAATTACAAATGTGAATAAGGTGCTTGAATCGCATTCATTGCCATTGTAGCCTTGTCTTATTTCTGGTCCAGTTTCAAAGCAGGTAGAACTAATAGAGACCATGTGCGAGAAGTTCCATTCGAAAAAAGAAGCCGACAACGATAACTACTGTAGACGCTGTAATATATCTTGTTGAAATACTCTGACAGCAATTGTAACTGCGGCGATATCCATAAAGGGCATTTCTGCAACGGTTGGGCAAACGTGGTTTGCATATGGCGTGGAAAATGTTACGACTATAAGGCCAGCCATGCTTCTGCTGATCATATCTAGCTGATGGCTAGAAGAAGAATCACCAATTACATTGCAGAGTGACATTTAGGTGGCTCACTTTTCGCCTAAACTCACTATAGCTAGAGATTACTTTCCTTACAAACTTGCCTCTCATTAACTAGAGAATCAGCGTTCCTAGGCCAGTTTTGTTTCTGTAGCTTAAAACGATAGCAATTCCAGACTCGTCTTTCAAACTGACACTTTGAATGTATTGCCAATGGGACGTCTCGATCTTGTTCGCCATTTTCGTGCAGGCCAGGCAAGGTGTCCCATGCTTAAAATCCAGTATACAAGTATGGCGCATGTTATCCGCAGATTATATTTTCGATTATGACAAAAGAAGCCAGAAATTTAGCTTGTCAAGCTTGTTTGTCAACCAGTCAAAATCGTAACTTTGTATGCCATATACATTGCCGTAATTAATTAGCCTATTCCATCTGACTTGTATAAAATACGTTCGTCGATAAATACGTTGCTGAACATTAATATTACAAGTAAGGAATCGATTGTCAAACACACCTTTTCTTATTCACTGTTCCTCTCAAAGAAAAAAAAAACGACGACAAAGTTATTTACAATTGCTCGGAGACGATACGCTGAAAGTGTACTGTGTATCGAAATAGAATTAGCGAACTGCCATAGCAACTTACGAAAACGATAGGAGCAACAATCTGAAATGTGTGAGTCTATGCTAAACTGCGCAACTGACTTAAAATTGCACGCGGCAGAAATTACGACGTCATAGTGCCGTGGATAACTGGCCACAGGTTCTCTTAACTGGTCGTACGATACGAAGCCCCCTCAAAATGTCTCGTTTGTTTAGACGAGTAAATGACGAATAAGCCTAGCTCTTTTTCGAAATAGTGCTTGTTAAATGTAGCAGTTGGTCGGTAGTGAGAGACGCCTCTTTTGCAAACGAACATTTTGTCATAACTGCGACACCATACCCTGGAAGACACCGACCGACAGGCCTGATGTCCTTAATCTTGGCGGTCCTTAAAACAGAATTTCAACCATACAGGTTTATGGTCGTAAGTTAACTAATGTGATTCCACCAATAACGATCAATAAAGGTGGTCTGAAGTCAGTAGTTATAAGGGATACGGTAGCGTCAAACTATTCAACTTCCATATGAATATCAGCTAATAAAAGTGCTCTCACATTTGCTATGTCATATATACATTTTGCATATATGAACTTTACGTAAGACTGAAATCTGTAAAGACCAATACTTACGCCAAGAACCTTTTCCAGCAGTCTGTAGCATTAACATGTTATTTCCGCTATTTTTAAATAGATAGGTTCAACCTGTCTTTTGACACGAGATGCTATGCTTTCCTTTCGACGAGAAAGGTCCGCTCTATTCATCTGAATCCTATAGCGCTACATTTAATTACTCTGCTGTCCTTTAGAAATTCATTACAGAGTAATTTTCTACTCGACGCCTAGACTTCAGTATAATGCAATATATCCAATTTTTGTTGGATATACCCGAGTCCAATTAATGAATATCACCTATATAGGTTGTGCTCGGTTATCTACTTTACCGCCAAGCATTTTCTATTTGTCGACTGTTATAGATTATACTGATACTATCAATATATAGATGTGGCATTTCTAATAAATCACTTTGGTCTATTACATGATGCAAGATGCTACCCTGAACCAACGAACTTGTCACGGAACTTCTTAAAATAAAAGCACTGCTTCTCAGCTCTTTAGACGCAACTTGACAGGAGATAGTACATCATATATATATAAAACCTTTGTATGTATAAACTATGGACAGCAGCTAGTGATCTGAGGCTATCGGAACAGTTCTTTCTGTTTACGTTACTTCCTCATTTATACGCTGTCGATGGATAAAAAGCAGCTGCTAAACGTAGTTAATTAGTAAAACTATTATGTCTAGATAAGAACTGCGAGCGATCGTAAATAGAAGCTTTGCAGGCGCAAGAACATTCGCTGGATTAGCAAAAATCTATTAAAAAAAGATCTATTAAGTAGTTGAGTTTAGAAAATTTCTTGTAGTATCATATTTGTGTATTTATATCTTCATTGGTCTGCGAATTAAGCATGTACTTCAGCACAGGAATTAGTTCGAAAAAAGCGCGGAGTACGTGCTAACGTTTGAACGACTCTTGTATACACGAAGGCCAATCGAAACGTTATTGAAATGCTCGCAGGCAAGTTCGTCGCATATAACGCGACTGAATGGAGTACTGCTTCATTGAAGTGTACAATGATTACCTAATGCTAACCAAAAAGTGACTCGGGTAATACAAAAGCTACTTAATGAATAGCATCATCAGCAGTAGCAACAAGCACCTCAGCAACAGCTTCGAAAATAAAAGTGGTCGTTATTTTAATGGAGCCTAAGTAATATAAAGAAATTGCGGAAAACCCATTCGTGTCGAGCACACGCAACGGACCGGTACGTTGTTGCTGTGACTGGTCGCAAGAGGCAGTACGGCTTCCCTCAACTAAATTCAGCAATGCTGAATTGCAACTTACCAAATCTCTTCCAAGGATATGTCATTTTAGCTTTTAGATAACTCACATTTAGATTTTAAGCTCTATGAAAAAAGCAAGGCAAACATAATTTACTCTCATCAAAAATGCAGTGGCTTTTCCGGTGTCGGTCATGTGAGCAGTTCTATTTGCATTAAAATTGCATAACTTACTATCAGTGAGCTCAGTTAATAGTTCCCACCTTTTTGAACGCAATGAGCGGGAAAAGGTCAGGTGCCGGAAGGCAGGTTAGAAAAACGTGTAATGCATATGTGCTACGTGTCCTCCTTTATAATAGGGTAATCTCTAAAGATTTGATCATAAACAGCCTGAAGCGTTCAATCAATAAAGAGAAACCTGAGTCTACGATTGTCATCTTAGAATATTTTCCGTAATCGGCTTGTACACACAATTGAATTGAACCAGCTATAAACGGAGTGTCTTCTTATTATTCAGATCTAGAAAATGAAACTCGCTTGCCCCGATGACATGGAGGTCGGCCAGAAGAGAATGGTTCTCGAGGGATCGCCTGCTAATTTATTACCCCATGTTCAAGGACGTCTGTCTTGTACGTTTGTCCTAATCGAACCAAAATAAACACTAGAAGAAGAATAGTGTTTGTCCTAATCGTTATAATCGAGCTTCTTGTATCCCTCTATTACGCAGCCCTTTTTTTTAATTAGTCTATTAGTTTAATTAATGCAAAACGTAATAGACATTCTATCTCTGCCTCATGCCACACGGAGAAAGTGGATGAAATAACAGCTAGAAGCAAATACTAATAAATGAACATTTTAAGTCGGCTTGGTCAACGATTCATGAAGGCCGCGACGATCGCCCATAATCCACCAACTTGGATGGTTCTGTCAAGATTTAAGGCTGAGGCTTTCCAAATCAATTGGGTATGCTTAGTACATTACTATAGTAACGCTATAGTATGTTACGTTAAATGTTCAAATTATCACTTCGGTGATAATTCTTGTTATTTGGGGCTTATGTGAATGAATATATATAAGCGTATGCGCCGTATGCAATATCGTGTAAAAGTTGAAGTCATTACTGTCAACTTCGTAGACGTTCCTCAATGCTGTAATAATGTAATCAGCAAGCATTCAAATAGGAAAGTGACCACCTAACCGAAGGACAAGGTGGGCTTATTAAACAAGGAAAAATCGTTTGATTTCAAAATGTTTTATGGAAACGTAACAAAAAGCATAATTAAAAAGTATGAGTCTCCATTTCTGTAGGATATAGTTAAATATTGTCTACACATTTTTTGTGAAATCGGAAATTGACTCATCAGATGCGTATGAAATGAAAAATATTATTTACATGAGGAAAGAGCTACTTGGAATCATCTAGCTACCTCAACATATGTAGGCAACCGACATTCAAGGTTTTCTGAATGTTTGCTCTTATTTCTCGAATAACTGGTGTTCTGTTTGTCTAACTTATCATGCTGCTTTATCCTAGGCTCAAAAGCTACTGACCTATATTCTGTACACTGGAGCCCGTTCTTCGGCTGGAGCTAGCCCACCAGCGCAGACGACGCGGTAGTCCTACCAACATTGCTTAGAGCATACGCTAACCTTTGACTTTCATGTGCACACGTTTTTCCTGATTCACTATTGACTGCTCGCTCTTTCAGTACCGTCGACCTCTATGAGATCGTTTACGGCATAAGGAATAACGGTTGCTAGACCTATTTTGCACATAATTCTGATGTTAGCTCTTTTGAAGAACAACTGCCGTCATAACAATGGTAATTCCAATTCAACTGACATAGAACTTGCATTGTTCTGTCTTGGCACACCCATTTTAGATCCTCGGAGTACATTTAGCTGTATATGATGGTGTCAATTTCAACAAATCTCCCTACGCGTAATCCTCTGTTGCGAAGGGTTGCAGTAACAAACTTAACAACGATTTGTATATTTTAACACGAACTTGCACTTCCGACTGCCTGAAACACACTGCCGCAACAGGACGTGTCTGAGAGAATCCACTTACGTACTCGACGCGGCCGCCACGTGGAGAGGGTGTAAGGAAAGGGTCACTTGAGGAAAGGGAATCGAGCCTCCTTTGTATGAGACCGCTTGATTGTCAATAAGCGACCCTCTACTGAGCAAGTCTTCATTGCCTTTATACGTATAATAAAGCTCATTAGCGAGTTGAGGGAACCACCACCATCGATTATGAGATATTTAAAATGGAAGAAATATGTCGCAGTTGCACGCACTGCATGCGGTCAGAGAATCGTACGTCTAACCTGAAGCTTTTTTCTATTAATTCCCTTAATAGTTTACTAATGTGTGCATAGAGAGAGGATTCGTTGCTATCCACTAGGTGTTAGAAAATAAAGAAGGCGTCATGTATAATCGAAAAGCATTGTTTGTACAGGTGCATGAATCTTCCGCATGGATCAGATGCTAGGGGAAGCATGCTAATTGAATGAATTGATAACGTAGTATGGCCTAGTAGGCCAAAGCCAGTTATTTTGCGTTCTAAACAAAAACTATATTCACTCAATGCGGCCGGCAAAGGGTTTAGCGGAACAGTAGGATCACAGCACAGCTAATAGAGGCAACGCCGTTTGCTATAGTTCAAACCTATGGCGATACACTGTTGCGTTCCCCAAATAGGCGATCCCGAATACCAGTTCAGGCGTTAAAAACGTCTAGCAGGTGATTTAACTGAATCCGACCCTGTTTGCCTTAAACATTTTAACCGTATTTACTGTCAGTATGGGCAAGTTATGCAATGCTGCATGTTAACTAAATATACCGATGTGTCTCATTGCACACGTCACTCAATTCGGGAAAAATCACACTAAGCTTTTGATTTCCTCAGCGAAAAAAAAACAGATAAATATAAGGTTACGTATAAATATAATAAATATTATAAATATAATAATAAAGTGTAGACGAAGATAGAAACGTAGGCCATGTTATAATTGTCTTTGGAAATTGGCTTTTCATAATTATTTTCAATTGGTACGTTTCATCTTCTCAGAAAATTGACTTTCGGTTGATTGTAGTCATTAATAATCATCTTACCAGTTTTAATATTGTACCTTGTATTCTCACTGCTTTTACCCTAGCGGCGGTCTTCTGCTTTGCAATATGCAGAAATAACCAGTCCACATCAGGGTCGAAACCTATCGAAAATTCTCGTTACCTAATCTACAGGACCATGTTTATATGAAAAAAGAAGTGCTAAACGACTCTCTGTAATAACTGGCCAGTGATAGCGGCAAGAGCTATAAGCTCTTGTCGATTGTTAATCAGTCACTGCTAATTTTGATCATACGAAATCTATTCTGTCTAGAGTGAACCTTTTGTTAATAGTTTTAGATCTTCACAGTTTACTTCGATCTGTTTATTGCGAAGGTACGTAGGCGTACGTTAGCGTTGTCCTTGGTCGGGCCACGGTGTTTATCAGCGATCCTTTTCAACCACGTAAGTTACACTCTGTGTATTTCAGACGTTCTCAGCTTTCATCAAGCCAGCCCACCCGCTCCACTGAACACGACTCGTACATTATGAATCTGACACGTGACGCCCGCTTCCCACAACGACTCACGATCGGTTAAAGTCTGTGTAGTCAGGACAGAAGCCTGCTAGCTGTGAGGTGTAGCTATGGGAGAATTTGATGCGATAAGCCGTCAGGCCCAGTTAGTTTACATAGATGATTTGATAACTTACTTACACATGTTCATACACAGGACCACTGGGCTACAACGCTTGCCTATACTTATTAAACCTAAGTCACCGAATAGAAGCAAGCAGATATTGGACGCATTTTGCAAATCAGTTACACACAATCATATAAAATACACACTTTTAACATAAGGCCTGTTAGGCACTGGCCAAAAGATGACCCGATCTGAACTGACAACCGGGTCAGTATGTTGGTGAGGACGGACATCGAACAGCTAGATTTTGAACTCGAAATTGTAAAAACATATAACAACACGCGCATTAGCTTTAATCCAGCCTAAAATTAGTTCGGCAGGAAGAAATCAAGGAATGTTATAGGCAGCAGTAGCTTGAGAGGGTCGATTAGGCCAGTGGCAGAACTTCGTACTGTTATCTAAATAAAGAAACGCAGGTTAGGAGTAGTTTTTTTTCGAGATTTTCAGGTTGAACAAGCAAGTTTTTCCCACTAACCCGGTAACACAATTTTAACATATAATATCGTAACTGTAAACAGTAAGTAATTAGCCCAAAATTAGAGTGAACAATCAATACGCTTTCTTCTTGCAGAAGCATTCAGCTCAGTACCGTAGTGTTTGCAGAAAAGTGGCTGACAAACAATAAAGGTAAACGATGGCAAGCTAAGCCTGAAATACAGGGCACACGTATTGCGCTTTACTTCTAGAGGAAAAGAGAAAGCCAAGATTCATCTGAGGTACTTCCGTTCATTATTATTACGTTTTCTGTTGGAGAGAAGCAGGGTGCCGCTGCTGAGTTTGATGGGAAGCATTTGTTAAAAAAAGCAACTAACTAAATTGATCGCGGAGCACCGTGTTCAACGAGTACCTCTTCGCGGCGAAACATTTCTGCTTGACTGCTAGCAACAAACAGCAAGCTCCTTTCGTACACACGTGCTTTGCGTGCAAACACCTGGAAGCGTGCGAATAATTAATAATCATCACGCACAAGGTTTCCGTCTGTCTTACTTTACGAATTTAAATCAGCCTGATTTTATTTTAGCGATTTGCCGGCTTTTTGCAAATTTGAAGATACAGAGTATCATGATAGAAAAGTAATAGGCCCAGAGACACTTTATATTTGCGTCTGTTTGTTGTTGTTACCAAGTCTGTAGCTTGATGTTGATTTATTTTTTTTCTCATGGAAAGCAGATCATGTTAACAGTTGTGTCATCCTTTAATGGTTCAATAAACTGTTAAGAAATGATAGCCAAATGAGCGTAGCTCTATGGAGAAAGGCCATCGCGTCAACTATTCTATAGGCAGTGTCAATGGATACCTGCCACGTTAGCGATGTTGCAAGAAACGTGGTAGCATATGTTTCCTATGGAGTTCTATTCAGCTGACAGCCTATTTACAAATGGTTTTCAGCTACGATTCGTAAGTCCTTACGAGAAATTAGCAAGTATACATTACTGTTCATAAATACAGTACAAATTCATAGGACGCGATAGCTTTACCGTGTATCTAAAATAATGAGGCCATGACAACCAACGCCGAATGCAACACAGTCTCTTCTTTGTGCATAATATGTGTACAGATACAATGATATAAATATCATGAAAACCGAACAACTTCCGAACCCTGTGAAACAAAATGATGTATCATTAGCAAATTAACGATAACAACGTAGGTGCCTAACCCTTCTGTTTACTCGTTTAACACTTATGGGTAAAACTTCCCTTCGAGCTGCTTGCTCCTCACCGATGCTTCAGTTTCGAGGTGCAGCGTTCGGCTGCTACACGTAACTTATTTGGATAGATCGATATCAGAAGTCGAAAGCTTTGGCCCGACACCCAACCAGTATTCTGTCCTTCTCGCTCTTCGTGACGAATTTAGAATATCTTTTTTTTTTTTTTCTTTCCTATAGTAATATCGTTCAACTCCAAACCAGCTAGCTGTCCCTGTTTTGTTCCGTCTGTTCATAGTCATTGTCCCTTTCTATGTATAACGCACGGTAGTAACACGTGCGGACGGTTGCCTTTTACCGGTGGGTCTCCTCAGCTCATGGGTAGCGTCAGAGACAGTAAGACTGCAATAAAAGAAGCTGAAGTAGCATCAATGGTTAGGTTCCACGAAGAGACGTCGTCGTCAGAATTCTAGAACCCTTTCCCTTCTCTCAGGAAGAGGTGACCGATCGTGTACAAAGGCTGGAAAACGGAGCGGCACACAACCGGCGGCCTGGTGGGACACCAGAAGCATGCTGACGGACATCGCGGGGAGACCGTCGAAGCAGCGGCAGTACCACGCTACCTAACAGTAGTGAAAGACGACGTGGAACAGGAACACGAGATGCAGCGCCACTGCATTGGGCGAGCGGGGGTGACAAGTTCGACTCTCGGCTAGAATTTGCGTTTCGAGTTGGAAAGAGCGAGACAGAGAGAGGTCATGACATGGAGTCCCTTATGGGGGACCTAAGGACAAAGCGGTACGAGCGTATGCAGGGCGCTACGACACCTAGCCATCCGAAAGAGCAATGGAATAAGGAAAGAGGCCGAGGACTATTTCTTTTTTGTTCGTTTCAAACCGGACTTTATTGGAATGGAAATTTTCCGACAATGCACTCTAGTTGGAGAGCGAACGAACGAACAGATGGATGGACAGCTCTCTGACTGGGAAACAACGGGGGTGGCAGTAGCGTAAGCGGAGGCGATGGTGGAATGCACGTGCATGTTAAACAGGAACAGACTGAGATATATAGATAGAGAAGTTAGAGTAGCATAGAAAAAACAACACTGAGGGAAAGGCGACGCAAAACGAGTTTGGAGAATTGAAGGGTGACAGAGCTAGCTTCTCTGAAGTCGTCGGACTCGCGCGGATAAAGAAAACTGACAAGGGAAGATGGCAGGGCAGAGAAGAAAAATCGAAGATACGCGGTTGTATATTGTCGTCTTTTACCAGCTTCATTTCATTTTCATAGTATGGCTTGAAAAAGAAGTACGTTCTTAATGCCGATTGTGGTTATCACAACGTCAAAAATACTTAGAATCCCACCTCCTCCAAGCATGTACGTACCGAATTGTCTTAGTCTTCATTAAAAGATAACAGAATCGGCTTTCCAGGTTGATGTAATATGTGCATGTGGACCTGTATGTTCTGATTCGTATGGCATAAGCAGTATATTTCGTTGGTGTGTATCCTCCCTTCTAATATTGATGATTCTAACAATAGTCATATTTCAACATAAGTGAACGGTGCTAATTTTATTATTGAGAATATTTAGGTTTCTAACGATTTTCA